TAAAAGAGGCTTGAAGTTTCCAATCCCGCAATAACTTGACCATCCATCCCTGCTCAATCTTATTTGATTGATGTCCTATGTGAACATGAGACATGGTGCATGCGATGCTTTATAAAGCCTCCCTTATATATAGTTCAAAAGAGAGGGTTGTTTATAAATTTCAGAAGGCCAGCATGTTCATGTGTGTTTGCGTGGCAGTAAAGATCCTGTGAATGTTTCGGAGGATGCCGAGGACGGGGAACGCCATGGATGCCCAAGAACGAGTGTTCGAAAACAAATCAAATGAAGGCGTCAGAATGATTGCAGCAATGTGTCCATCAACAAAGAGACTTAGGGAAATCTTTGCACAACATGAAGGACATTTAGGCAAAGGTTATCCCACAGTTGGGATAAACTCGTGAAACAAATTGAAGCAATTCCGGTGTATTTATATCTGGAGAAGGTTGGACATCACCTGTCTTTCATCTTGCCAAGGATGAAAGAATTCAAGTTCAAGGCTGTGTTAACGGTTTTCTTTGACATTAAGAGCATAATTATGGATTAGAGGACGGGGTTCTAGAGGAATTAACAAAAGGGATTGAACCAAAACTCTATAAATGGGTTCTTGAACATTTTTATCTAAGGGTGAAGAAAAAGAGGCTACAACTGTTGGAAAATGGTTCCCTCTTTCATCAGGACCCACACTGCTCTCTCTGAAAGGTTCTTTGGTCCACACCACACTCTGTATTTGCCTGATCTTGCACCATGTGACTTTCTTTTCCCTAAAATTGGATCTGCTCTCAAAAGAACTGATTTTGAGTCTTTTTCAGAAGAAGAAAACGATAGCTTTTGAGATGCCTAATGAAAGATCTGCTGCACTGCTTTGATTGGAAGACGAGAGTGCAGCAGCGTGTAGGTGCAAAGGGGGAAAATATCAATTCATTAAAATTGAATTACAGCATCAGCCTTATATGGTCATTGACTTAACTGATGATCCTGAGCCTGAGTGAGCCTGAATGATTGATCATCTCTCTGTGATGGAGTAGCCTGCCCAGTGTGTAGCGCTCCACTATCTCAGTGGGGTTAAAAAGGTGGATGGATGATTTGTAGCTTCATGCTCATCTAATGTTCCTTTTTGTAATCTCTTAATGTGCAGGCGGCTCTGACAACCATCTGATCCTGCTGGACCTGCGCAGCAAGGGAACCGATGGAGGACGAGCAGAGAAGGTCCTGGAAGCATGTGCCATTGCTTGTAATAAAAACACCTGTCCAGGTACTGTGTGTGTGTGTGTGTGTGTGTAAGTGTGTGTGTGTGTGTGTGTGTGTGTAAGTGTGTGTGTGTGTGTGTGTGTGTGTAAGTGTGTGTGTGTGTGTGTGTGTAAGGCAAAGTACTTTTCCATACACGAGTATGGCAAGTAAGGAACATTTCATATTTAAGATGAGATAAGAACTTTATTTATCCTGAGGGAAATTCTTTTGTCATAAACATGCTCAGAAGCAGAGGAATAAGGCAAGTTTATTTATATAGCACAATTCAACAACAAGGTGATTCAAAGTGCTTTACACAGAAATTAAAAAACAAAAACAATAAAGCATGATTTAAAATTGATTAAAAAAACAGTAGATAAACTCAGAACAGTAGATAAAATCAGTAGTTAAAATGTAAGTTAAGTGAAATTTAAAGATGTACAATAAGATTTTTTATTTTATTTTATTTTTTTTAAGTAGATAGATCCCATTTTTGCTTGATTGGTGTCTCTGCAAAGTCCCATTCTTAGTTTTTCTCGTACATCTTTGTAGGAGATAAAAGTGCTTTGCGACCTAGCGGCCTGAGGTTCGGCTCGCCGGCTCTTACCTCCAGAGGCTTGGTGGAGAATGACTTCAGGAAAGTGGCTGAGTTCATTCACAGAGGTAATTTATTTCTTTAAAGGAGGAATTGGTGTAAAAAGATTTCTCACAAACAAAATGTAAATAACCCATGCTTTCCATTCTTCCGCAGGCATTGAACTGACTGTGGAGGTGCAGAAAAGTCTGGATCCCAAAGCCACTCTGAAGGAGTTTGTTCAGGCATTATCCCAGGGAGAGAAGTTCCAGCAGCGGGTAGCGGAGATCAGGGCTGAGGTGGAGGCTTTCGCCGGACAATTCCCAATGCCAGGTCTACCCGAGCTGTAGAGCGCAGTTCAGACTCTAAATGCAGCTGAACGGATGATTCAAGAAGATTAGTACGAAGGCATATGATGCTGGGTTTTTGTTTTTCCTTTATTTTGACTGTCGACTCACAGTTCGCATGGATAGACACGATTTCTGTTCAAACAGATTTAATAACCATCGAATTATTCTGTGTTGTTACTGAGCCTTTCCCATTTTTACGTGTTTTCCATTTAGCTTCATGGTCGGGTGTTACAATCATATTTAAGCTTTGAGCTCATCAGAAATCTCACTTTCATCTTTATTAAGGTTACACTTCAGAGGTTTTGTAGCAAACTACCACATTTTCAGTATATAGTATCGTAAGTACAACTTTGAAAATAAAATAATTACATTCTGAATAAACTAAGAATGAACGAAACCTCAGCTGTTATGTTTTTGTTTTGCTTTATTTTTTTCCCCAGTCTAAGTACATCAGTGCTCTGGACTCTGATTAAGTTAAGTAGATATTAGAAGCTTAAAGTGGTTTAATAATCTCGATTTAGCAGCAATAGAAAAACAGCTGATGCTGGCTGGAATGTCATTACAAGAGCACTGGACAAATGAAAATTCTGGTAGAATAAAAGTTAAGGGGTCATTAAAATTCAAATCACCTTGATGAGAACGAGTCCACAGAGAGTCGAATATCCAGACCCTGTGTTCCTGTGAAACCTGGACGTTGGTTTCAAAGGGTGAAAATAAGTTTTCTCCAGTAGACATTTTTTCTTCCTAGTACAATTCTCAGTGAAGAGATATCCTGGACTTGGATTTTCACTCAAACTGGATACTGCTGTATGAATCTGTATATGCTATAACATCGTCTCTTTCAGGAAAAACGGTCAGTAATCCTGAAAGATCAGGTGATACAGGACATTAGAAAACACTGAAACAGCATAGCATGCTGCTGGCATCCAATTAAAAAAAGAATATCTAATTTTCTACCTTTCATGTGTTGCTTTTGTACCAATTTTAAATTAAACAAACAACCTTATTTACATTTTACATGGTGTCCCAATTTTATTGGAAACAAGGATCTGATATGTTTCTACTGAAAACTACAAATGTTGGTACAATCACTGGTTTGGGGGTTTTAAATTTTTCTTAATCTATACATTTGATTATTTTAGATTAGAATCTTGTTTGCAGTCGCACTTTTCTCCTCTCCTCCTTCCCCTTATCTTCCCTGCTTAGTCTCTTGTGTCCTTGTCTTGTCTCGTGTGTATTACTTTCCCTGGAACACTCTCTCACAGTCTGTTCTCTAAAACCTAAAAGAGAATTATGGATTTGATCAACTGGTCTCTGAATGCTATTGACACCCTTTTCTCAAGGAGAAGTCTGGGCTCGGGAGAGCCCAAGTGCCCTGGAGGGACTGATAGACTGTTTACTTAGCCTGGTAGGGCAAAGGAAACTGTCTCAGCTGAACTATGGACACGGACACACATACACTTACACTGATAAGCACTCACACATCCCCCCTCCCCTTCCAATGCCTTCGATGCTTGTTGCCTCCTGGGAACATGAGGCGGGTCTGGACCCGCACTGGAGAGACGGCGAGGGGCAGGATGGCTGCTGTGTTGCCTGGGATTACTCCTTTCCCCTACCCAACCCTGTTGCTCGTCACGTGCTCTATAATGTTGTACTGTGGACATTTATGTGCTTTCTGTCCTGAGGAGTTTTTTTTGTTTCCTGTTCTCATGCTGTCCTCCTATAGCCCAGTATGAGTAGAGGTCTCTTTTTTTCCTCTTGTACTTTCCCATTGTAGTGTATATTTCATTGTTTTTTTCTGTAATGCAACCGTTCTCTGACTTGTATCCCTATGTGATGTCTGTGTTGTGTGTGTAAAGTCGGGGGGCAGGTTGCCCTGCAGTGGAATGCAGGGCAACCTGCCCCCCGACATGCCACTGCATGTGGCGAATAAAAGTTGAACTTGAACTCCATCAACAGACAAGCTCGGTTTGAGAAGTGTTGATTAGTGTTTGGGTTCAAATGAGCCAAAATCAGGTTTTGCTCAACATGATGTGTATATGTGTGTATATACGTATGTATGGATAGATAGAAACATATATGTATATATAAAAAGAAATTACACATAACATATAATGTAATTGCAATGAGGTATTTCTGTAGTCTATTGATACTAGATAGTGGAAAAGGGGTGGGATTAAATAAGCTTATGCTTCTTCCTGCTCCTTTTTGAACATGAATGTTATTTGGAGTTGTGGTTGCTCGTTTTCCTTTTGTTTTGCTTTGTTCATTTGTCTCTTTTAATTCTAGTTTGTTGTACTTTTTCAACATGTTCAAAATAAAGATTCAATCAATCAATCATTGAAGATCAAAATAACACATCCCAGTACCCTCAGCTTTCCCACTGAGAAGCTCTATAATAATCATAATAAATGCACGAAAGCAACAGCGATGGATTTTATAAAGAAAAAAAAAACACTTCAGTGAAGCTGAATAAAACCTTGCCGGGCCTCTGAACCACACAGACTGATATAAAATATGTTTTGTACCAATGGTGTCAGACATAAAGGGGCACCAGAATCCAAATGTAATCAGTTTTACATCTTTTCCTTCCAGCTCCCCCCTGGCTATTCATGCTACTACAGTAATTTCTGATTTCAATGCTCTTACATTCAGATTACAAATGATCTACTATAGAAATTTCTGTTTTGGCTCCACGGTTTTTTCCTGTAATTTTTCTCATTTCTTACAGTTTAAGCCCAAAGAGAAATGCTGACAGATTTGACTAAAGCAGCATTTCTTCATCATGTGGAAAAACTGAAACTTACTGTTGAGTTGTGGATTTAACGAAGCGCTCTGCGATCGTTTAGTCTTGTCTGATTTTGTCAGGTCGGAGGTCAGCCTGCGCGCCTCCCATCATCCACACAGAACAAGGAGTAGTTCGGGGACATACAAACATTTACGGGCCGGTCGTGTCCATGGCTTGTCTTTAAAACCGACATTAGACCTATAAACTACGGCATCTGTTGTATTCTCGGTATCGGAGTTTGGAGTTTGGTGCTAACTTATCAGTTAGCTTGGCTAGCCGCCTTAGCAGGCTGAGAGGGAACTTGGTAGCTAGTAGCTAGACTTCGAGCTAGCTTAACCGAAACGGACATTTATCTGATCGGAGGAGTGAATAGACTGCAGCGGACATGCAGGATTTACTGGCCAACGTGGACCACATCAAGTTTGACCTGGAGATTGCCGTGGAGCAGCAGCTGGGAGCCCAGCCGCTGCCTTTCCCCGGCATGGATAGTAAGTGCTGGGATGCTAGCTGGTACTAAGCCCGCTGCGGGTTAACCTTAAGCGGAATTAACGGTAAAGGTGACGAGGGGAGAGTTGACCGCCACTGACTACTTATGTTCATTGACCCTGTGATCGTGTGTGTCTCTGCAGAGTCCGGGTCTGCTGTGTGTGAGTTCTTCATGAGAGCTGCGTGTCAGAAAGGTAAAATCACAACATGGTCTCAACTCTGTGGTGATGTCACTGCAGCGTGAACGGCCCCAACAATGAACTCTTTAACTTCCGTAAAGTTAAAGTTTAGACACTTCACGCCACTCAAACGCACAGATCGGTGCTGGTTGACCTTTTTTTAAGCAAGCTCGACCTCTCATGTCTAAATACAGCCTTAGATATACTGTTTACGCACTGCTACAGTAGCCTGCACCTCACTGATTTCCAAGAATAGCCCATTTTCATAATGTTGTGAATTATATTACTCCTCTAATAGCTTCAAGGGAAATGACCTTTCCCCCCCATCTTTATTAAGCACTTTTGTAACCATTTCAATCCCTGCCATTAGGCCAGTCTCTGCTGATCTCAAAATGTCCAAATTTAAAGTACTAAATTGTGTTTTAAGTGATCAGCATGACACTGAGAGCCATGTGTGTCTTAATGAGGAGAAGGTCACAGAGCGCACTGTGTCTCACAGGTGGGATGTGTCCGTTCCGTCACATCAGTGGAGAGAAGACAGTGGTGTGTAAGCACTGGCTCAGAGGTCTGTGTAAGAAGGGAGACCAGTGCGAGTTTCTCCACGAATACGACATGACCAAGATGCCTGAATGCTACTTCTACTCCAAGTTCGGTGAGTTGACATCATGAGTGCATTTATTTGGTTAAACTTTGCACAGATCTTGTCAGATGAATGCCGTACTGATTAATGTTTTGTTCTGTGACCCTCACAGGTGAATGCAGCAACAAGGAGTGTCCTTTCCTACACATAGATCCAGAGTCCAAGATCAAAGACTGTCCCTGGTATGACCGAGGCTTCTGCAAACACGGTAAGGTCAAATTCTGGTACTAATACCACAAACCCACTGCTTATAGACGTAGCCTGTCTGTTCTGTGGTTTAAATGGAGAAAAACATAATACGTCTTATTATTTGTCCTCATCTGTGTCTCCGTCTTCTTACCTCAGGTCCTGACTGCCGACACCGACATACCAGAAGGGTGATCTGTGTGAACTATTTGGTGGGCTTCTGTCCAGAAGGAAAGTCCTGTAAATTTATGCAGTAAGTAGTCCTGTTACATTTACTTCCTACACAACAGGTATGATTCCTGATAGGACCGCTGCTCCACATTAAGTTGGTTAAATCTGCCAAGCAATTGTGCAGGAATTTCATTACATTACACTCCAGTATAAATGGTCTTTGTTTGATTTTATAATGATGGATAGCTGCATTAAAAGTTTTTTGAGACTTCACCCTGCAGTAACGTAAATTATACGTTGATGTTCCTCCACAGCCCCCGATTTGAGCTGCCTATGGGCGCTTCTGAACAGCCTCCTCTCCCACAGCAAAACCAGAACCAGGCAAAGGTAAGAATGCACACAAACACTCGAATGATGCATCCCGATGCCGGCGTGGATCCATCTCAGAGGATGAATCAGCATGACTCTCGGTGCTTCTGTTTAACTGTTTGTTCCTGTTGCTGAGGTGCACAGTGAAAACAGTCTCTCTGCTTGCCTCCTGCCGCAGCCCGTGCCTACCATTGGTCGCTCGTCGCTCTCCTTAATCCAGCTCACAAACTCCATCCCAGCCCAGCGGCAGCAGAACAACACGACTACTGTGTCTCAGCAGAACAATCTAAATGCCAACAGAGGGCCTCGTCCGCTGGACCAAGTCACCTGCTACAAGGTGAGTCGGCTGTACATCTGTGTGATTAAAGCTATGCCAGTCTCTCGCTTTGGTCGTAATTGCAATCATTAATCAAACTGTGGTTGGTTATATTGCCAAAGCATGCACCGGCCATACATTTAGATCATTAAAACCAGACTTTTCTCAAGTTTAGATGCACTTGCAAGGTTTTACCTATAATACTGGTTTCCTCTGCGTGGTTGCAGTGAGCCTTGAATAAGATGGATCACTGGTGCTCTTGTGAATTTATCCAGCTTCTTAAAGGGGAACAATTTTCTGAATTTCTTGGCTCTCCACAGTGTAGCACTTTACACGTTTGCCTAAAAGCAAAAGGTGGTGACACAAATCTCTTTGGGATGAAAAATGTGCACAAGAGTCTGGCCCCTCAGTTCAAACACAATCTGGAATCATCAGTTTTAAGTTTGCTTCCCACTTTTTTCTGATTGGCTGTCTCTTGCAAATTGTATGCTGAACATGTATGAATGTGGGTGGAGCAGCTGTTCCAACAGCCTGGGGTTTTGGGTTATAGGGTTTACGTGGACATTCACTGATATCATTATTTAAACCTTGTACACTTTTAACAGAGCCACCAATCTCACAGCACATATGACTGTAAATAAAGAAGGGAAAACACCCTTAAAACAATCTCCTTTTTAAAATTAGAGGATTTCTTTTTTCTTTTTTCTCTCGCTACTGGGAACAACTGGAACATGCAGTAAATGTCGTTAATTGCTTCATTTCTGTCTTCCTCTTGTCTGCAGTGTGGTGAGAAGGGCCACTATGCCAACAAATGCACTAAAGGCCATCTCGCCTTCCTGAGTGGTCAGTAACCTTCAGCCGAACACCTCAGTGCTGTAGCGCACCACCCCTGATGTGAGCAGAAGAGAGAATGGGGAAGACTGCTCTACATGCTGGTGTTTCTTAAAGACTAACTGCTGCCCGACAGACACGGACAGTGGGAGGGGGGGCCTGTGGACACATGAAAGTGACAAGAAAAAAGGTCATCCGGCCTGATTTGCTGGGTTTGTACAGTACAGGTGACTTTGAAGAGTCACTCCCAGGGTCCAGACTGCTGCAAACACCAATACAGGTGCTGTTGTTCCTCAGGTCATGTGACTGCAACTGCCACTGCTATGTTCCAAGTCTGACCGTGAAAAAAAAAAAAATTGAACAAATGTGATAAACATCTTAGGAATGTAATTTAGCTTGTACTCAGTGCCCAAATCCACACTAGCTACAAAGGTCATTCTGGACATTTCAGCCTCGGTTTAGCAGCTGTGTGGCAGGTACGGTAGTGCAGAGCAGCTGGAAGAGACGCTTTGTTGACAGTCTGAACATATTCTGTCTGTACAAATAAATGTTCTTGTTTCAGATTTTATTAATTTTTTTTTACCCCTCACTTCTGATCTTCTCATAGCCACTTCTGAGATTTACACAGTACACTCACAACAGTAAATCCTTATCCTTATTTTTTATTGGTCACAACAATCACATATGAACAGAGCCGAGGATAGAAAGAGCTGACGCGTTCCTGAAGGGGCTCAGTGGTACTTCCTCCAGCGATCGTGTTCTACAAGAAAAGCAGAAGTCGTTTAACATATTAGCTTTTTTTTTTTTAACCAGTGAGGTTAACTGTGACAGGAGTGCAAAGAAAGAAAAGAGGCTCTGTAAGCGAGTGTGTTTCTTACTGATGTGGTCGTATTCCCATAAGTAGCTGATGGCCACGTAGCCTACGAGCAGCATAGCTATACCACCGATGCCCCCCTTCTTCACATTGATGTACTTGTTGTAGTATCTGTCATGGCCTAGAAGAGAAAACGGCATGGTCAAGTGTCCTGTTTAGTATTCAATACATGCAAGAGGAGCACTCATTCTGTGACCTTAATTACTACTGAGGCCAGATTCTCAAATTAGTGTCCCAAGTATAAGTAAAGCTACTAGCACAAGGGTCAGCAACCTTTACTGTCAAGAGACATTTTTCAGCAATTTGTGATTCAAAAAAAAAAAAAAAAGACCACAAAGCACGAGCCTCATGTAAAGAAGGATACTAAGATTAAGTGTAAAGTAGCCTAAATGAGTAGATTCTTACTCTCCAATGGGCCATTTCTGATTATTTTGTACTTCAATTCTGGATTTTCACTTTATTTTATACTTATTACTAACAAAAGAGAAGAAAAGTGGAGTTAAACTAGCATTTTTAAATCCACTTTGAGACAGAGCAGGTATAATTTTCAACCCAGGTTTCTGTGCAAATCAATCTTAAGGGGCCCCAATCAGACAATATATCAAAGTGAAATCTAAAAACTTTAAAACAGTCAATTTTCAACATAATTTTAACTAAAGTCCAGCTTTAGATTAAAAATACTTGGTGGTGAAAGTGAAGAAATCATTCCATTTTCCCCTCACACTTTTTTGTTTTTAGATCTGGAATCCATACCAACTGGGAGTTAAAACTACACAGCCATGCTGACCATTTTTACCGAGGTTCAGCAAAAATCAAGGCGATAAACATGAGCTATGATGCACATTGTAAAATATTTTTTTAAGAATCTGTGTTTAAGGACACAATTGTACTGCTGGTAAATGTAAAGAGTGTTTTAGATCAGGGGTGTCGAACTCCATGCCGGTGTCCTGCTGAGTTTAGATAACACCCTGGGTCAACACCACTGAATGAAATGATTAGTTCATTGGCAGGCCTCTTGAGAACTTCAAGACATGTTGAGGAGGTAATTTAGCCTCACTGGCCCCCCGAGGCCTGGAGTTGGACATCTGATCAATGCCAAAAACTGAAATATTCGCACACAAAGCCATTGTTTATTTTTATATACATATCCATTTTCTGATAAAGTCACTGGAGAGGTTCAGGACCCCTGTACTAAGGAAGTGCCTAGCCAAAGGCAGAGCTGAGCCCTCATAAATAACATATTCCTTACATAACAGATGCGTTACAGGTGAAACCGTAAAGATGCAATAAGCTGAAGTAGTTAATGTGGATGGGTTTAAATATGTGGGGGTCAAAGATCCAAAGCAACCGACAGTGCACAAGAGAGGTGAGGAAGAGAGTGCAAGCTGAAAAAAAATGTATATAAATAATCAGTCAGTGTTTAAAAACCAAGTTCCAGTAGGTAAAAAAAAGAAAAGAAAAGCGCTTTTCCTGCCCACCAGAAGTAGTCGGAGCAAGTTGTACTCACCCCTGCGAATGGCTGAGAGGATGCCATTGGGAGTAAAGTCTCGACCTCCAAGCCAGGCTCCCAGCTCGTTGAGTTTCACGTCCATCAGCCGCTTCTCAGCTAAGGAAACTAAAAACACGTAAAAAGAGCGTCATCACTGAAAATGCACACTGTCAACAAAGAATAAAAACATGCCACTGAATTACAAACATTAGCAATCTAAAAACACGTTTAAACCGCTTGTCTAAGAAGACAAAAAGTGGCAACATCGTGTACCGAGGACACAAAATTGTCATTTCCCTACATATTTTCTGACTTTTTTTTTTTTAAATATCCAATAAACTATTAACCTTTCAAATAATTATCAGGCTAAGAGTTACGGAGACTAAAGACCGAAGCTCTTAATTCTGCAAAATAATTAACAACTTGTTAACATGTTTTCAGTCGTCGCAGTAATTCAATTACACTCAAAACACAGCAGCCGACTCGCTAGGAGCTAGTTTGACATTTACCAGGTGTGTGTAGCCGATTGTAATGTCATAATGAAAGTTTGCTGGACCGCTTTTCAAAAACACCATAAAGCACACAACAAGGCACCCAAGTTCTTCTTTATGTTTTTTTACAAGTTGGTCAAAGAGACCATCCTAGTTTGTACTAATCGCACCGTGTTTGCGTGCTACCGAGCAAGCTAGCTAAAGAAACCGTTATATAATCGACACGATTATCAACAGCACGATTATTAGAGCTTCATCCAAGCTGTAGGTCACTCTGAAAGGTGCAGTTAAATCTAAAAAAGCGGCCTGCAGATTTATTTTCACAGTAAATCCGCCAATGACACGCAAAGTCCTTGACGTGACTCAAAGGGTTTAGCGAGGCCTTCAGTCCGAAAAAGACCTTCAAGTGACGAATTCACGGCTTGTCTGATAGAAAACACCCCTCAGTCCCCAAAAGCCTCATTATATGCCAAGATGATGACATATAAAACAAAAACAGGACAATATTTTTTTGGGAGAAGGCACATTACGGTACCTGCTTTGTCCGCCATCTTGACCGGTGCAGAAGGTTTGCTGCAAGGAATGATGGGAATAAAAGGAGAAAGTGCATTATGGGAGGTCATGTAGTTTTAAAGTGAATCCACTAGAGAGCGGCAAAAGCAATAAAACCAAACAACAAACATTATTATTATTATTATTATTATTATTATTATTATTATTATTATTATTATTATTATTATTATTATATTATTATTATTATTATTATTATTATTTCCTAAATAAATTAATTTCTTCTATTTTATCGTAATCTGCTCTGAATAATACGTTCACGTTTATTAACATCTTAATTTTTTATTTATTTTGGTGTAAATTTGTATCTTTTCACCCTCCCTCACTTTTAAAAATCTAGAATGAATCATTATTCAGATATTTTTAATGTTACTCCCGGTTGTCTGTTTACGTCTCTACATGTGTTAAAAAATAGGAACAAACTTGTCAGGCACACCATAATTGAATCAACACTTTTGTTAAATGGTGTGCACAAATTTAATTAGAGTGAGATCTGCCCTTTATAACTTATTGATTGAGTAAAGACTTAAAAGATTAACTTGCACACTTGCAGAAGCCTACTTTTGTTGCCAGCTTTCCTTCCTGACTTTGGCTACAGCACCTGTGCTGCTAGTACCTTGTTAGGATTACAGTTTTGCCCCACATGCATGAAATTGGCACTGCAGATGCAAATAGTTGTATGCACCTCCTGGAGGTACTGATTTGTGCTCAGTGGCCTGGTCACAGATCTGGATGGGAGTTCTTAGCTTGGCCGCTGTTGTGAGTTAATTTTTCAAGTGTGCATCACCTCAGGGAAACCTGGTCTGCTTTGTATATCAGATAAAGATTTTGTCTGCCTCAAAGAGAGGAAATGCCGCATTTGATAGAACACCTGCACACTGGAGTTGGATTTCCACCATCTGTGTAACTAATGGAAGCTGTGTTTCAAACAAATAGTAGGAGAAGCACAAGAGGCAGGACACGGAAGGACCGTAGCAACTGTCAAAGTGGCCATTTGTGTTTTGGACTAAGACAGAGCATGACCTAATGTCTCAGTTTCATGCCAGCAAAGGTGCATTGAGCCCCATGCAGGGTCCTTCCCCTGAGCTGTCTTTTCCGAGTGTATGTGGAGACTGAAGATGGGTCAGAGGCTTCCCCCATTAACTTTAGAACACAAGTGCCTTACTCATGCCTGGCGGTTCTGTTGCATAGTTTGTCCATGTGGTGATCAAAAAGATGCCTCACCTCACAGATGAAGGGCTGATATGACAGAAGAGGTCAGTCCAGTGAGTTTGGAAACCATTGGAGGGAAAAACAGCACACGTCTCAAACAGTCTCCTCGGCAATGAAGCACCTCTTATCTGTTCTGAAAGGCTCATTCAGATGGACACCACTGGAGCAGTGTTTATATCATTGATCAAGCCACTTGAAGGTCACTGGAGTCCCTGAAAGAAACCTGAAGGCTGCTGATGTGAGCTTATAACTGTTTTTCATCCTTTAGGTCAATGCAGCTCACAGAGTATTTCTCAAGGCACCTTAAACATTTTCTAAGGTTAATTGCTCAGCGTGGCCTCTGGGTCTGTGCTAGCTCTGGATGTTCTGTCATTAGCCAGTACAAGGTGATCAGCGAGTGGGAATTGTGTTTTTGTAAGATCGTTGGCTGGGATGAGTCATCAACCTTGTTAAGTTGCGAGGGAACAAAACAGCCGCACTGGTCTCTGTGAATCTTTCAGGGCATAAGGATTTTGAGAGGCCGGTTGTAGGCTACCACGTGGGATTTTGTTGTCCCGTTTGTGAAAGATCTGTGATTCACAGAAGCAGAGTTACCTTTGTAACGTACAGTTTAGGGTGAGCTCACAGCTTTCCCCCTGCAGCAGATGAAAGAGCAGGACTTCCATCAGTGCTGCACAGCGACACTCAAGCATCCACATGGAGCAACACAAAGAGCTGAACTGAGCGGGACTTCCATTATAAAAGAGCCTCTTACTTATTTAAAAGGACTTCATAATACATTTTAAAATGTCAGGACTACAAACCCTGATTTTCCACAGCACACATGGCAAGGTGAAGTAAATAAGGCCCATTCTTCTTACACTGAAATGCTGTGCTGGGAAACCTTGAGTCACTGTGTTGCCTGCCTAAACTGGGGAAGTGGGAAAG